CTGGGTTAATGGGCTCCCAGGACTCGTGAAAAGCGAACAAAAGGCCCAGTTCTGAGCCGACCGCACAAGGCGCTGTCCGGGGTTTCACTGGCCATGTCCTCCAAGCTCTCCTGTCGCTGTTAAACTAAGTGGACTTTTATGGGAGAGCAGTAATACATGCCTCTGTGAGCCGGCAGCATAACTTTGAGCTATAATAATTATACAGAGCACAGGGGAGCCTTAGTAATTGTATGTGTCGCATCACTGTAACTCTATTCATAATTATAAAGTCGTCCTATGGGCAATGATGCGTTAGACTGGCCTACATCTTCAGCTTCAAGCGATAGCAGTGAACCCTATCATGGAAAGTGAGTTCTGCTCACGACTGCCTGAACAAACATCGTTCAAGTTAGAACCTGAAACTGGAGCAGGGTGCAAAGGCTGTGATGTAATATTTCACACCACAGAAAAGTAGAAAAAGGAAGGGAAATATATGTTGATATTTCACCTACATTTATAATATATGCCTGTGGATCGACATCAATTGGTTATTTACCCAATCCTGTGTCAGCAAGGCCCCTTCCAGGAATTCCTCCATATCAATGTTGTGGAGCAGTGAAGAAATAAAGTATAGCCTGAGTGTGATGAGGGTTCCAGGCTGCACTCTGGTCAGGTGGCTAAGCTGTGCTGTGCAACTCAAATGGCCCATGACTTACCACACAAGAAGGTATTCGAAGACTGATCATCTAGTGCATGTGCAACAATATTTGCTTTATGGATGGCTAAAATGAATGAGGACTTTCCATGTTTCAACAGGCATGAGAGTCAAGAGAGATGAGTGCAGGGACCAGAGTTGGGTCAAAAGTTGTTAGAATTAAATATTATTTGCTTCATTTAGGAAGGACCACAAGATCGACACTTGTTGCGTTGCTCTGTGTGGGAGAGGCCACCAGAATATATCTAAAGAAACTCTCAAAAGAATTTCGTAATCACTGGTGGACACACATCTCAGCATGTGCAGTTGTGATTTTACTTACTTATAAGCTGCAGAGTCATACAGCTGTAATTCTTCATTCGACTCTCTGAGTCTGTATCTTATAATCTGAATCACTATTTCCCATCTTTTCCAGACTTACAGACAGACAGCAGGCTCTCCTCTAAATAAAATGTGAAGAGAAACAGGAAACACTAGATTTGCTGTAAACTGTAAACATTCCAGATCTCTACCCAACCATACACCATGCCTTACTAGAACTATATACTGTATATATAATGTTTTACAGCGTCGAACCTGTGGCCGTGCTACCCGCAGTGCAAAACAGACACTGCTGACGTGTTCATCCCTCCTATCTGGGGAGGGGTGAGGGTGCCGGGGTAAGAGTACTGGGCTTTTGTCCCACCACATGTCTATTGTGGCTAAACCTTTCCCTTGGGGGCAATTAGGACCTTTTAGTTTGTTGTAAGAGGACCTAAGTACGAGTGGGTTGAGCCAGGAAAAACATTTTTGAGCTAAACCAAAAACAGAAGCGCATTGAGCTCCTCTGCACTCCTGGACTTCTGAGCATCTCTCTATTAAGAAATGTGCAGGCCTACACTGAACAGACAGGAACTGTGGCAGCTTTACAGGGGCAGGGAGGTGACAGGGGTGAGAGAGCCGGGGAGGGGAAGGTTTCAACTCCACCCGAGGCCCAGCCAAGAGGGCAAACAACTCAAGACCAACAATGTTGGTGGCAAGGACATGCTTCAGGAGAATCAAGAGTTAGGGGAGATCCATGTTTCGCTTTAACTTTCACATGGCTGGATGGAAAACTGGGGAGAGAGAAGTGCAACGGGTAACGGTATGCGGTGAGATCTGCCGTAGCGTGCAGAAAGCAAACACATGCATGTTGTTTAACACAACAGAGACACTGGGCCAATGAAAAGACATTACTGTAAGTAAAGGCAGCTACAGCAGAGGTGTTAGTCTACACATGTGAGAGATAAGCATTAAGAGGAGGTATAAGTGTGTGATTGAAAGAGTCAGTGTTTGCACGGAGATGAAAATGAATGCACAAGTATGTTTGAGAGATGGGCCAAGATAGGGGCTTGGAGAAGAAAGAAAAGGGGAAAAAGAAACAGAGCAGAAGAGATAGGCAGGTAAGACATAATTGAGTGTATAAATTCTCTTCATGCGGGGACCTTATCTCCCTGCAGAAGGGGACGTTTCCCATGGCAGGCCTGAGTGGAACGGCAGTGAACAGTGCTAGAACCTCTGAGCAAAAACCCATGAGTGATGAGGAGAGGTTAAGAGAACTGAACCCATTTAAGTCACCCAAATAAGGGCTGTACAAGCCCATGATGGATGCTCTGGAGTTCCTGAGGGAAAGAGCACTGGCAATGGGAAGGGTGATGGGTGGAGAGCGAGCAGGGGTCCTGCGATCCCCACTTAATAAAAACAAATTGGTTTGATAAACGACACAAGCTTAACGTCCACAAAGAAATATGTGCACTAATTTTTAAATAGCATCACAAGCCATTTTACAACAATGATTGTCCCTTTTACTGATATGTGTATGTAACTGCACATAAAAAGATGCAATATATGGATTCTGGCTGCTGACAGCGTGCTGTAACTTTTATCTTGGTGACTTCAGACAACCTCTGATCTAAAACACAAATAGTCGCTAACAGGCCAAATGCAGCTGAAGCAAAGAGCAACAGAATTTATCATTTGGAGTTCTTTCAAAACACACAGCACTTATTACTCTACTAAAAAATGAAACACTCAAGTGGTGGTGGGGATGACTGCGCAACAAGCCAACATTTCTCCTGAGAGGGTCCTGTGTACCATACGGTATTACATGAGGCTGCACTGTAATAAACAGTTATAGTATGTTTAGACAGACCGAGAGCTTAGCATTCTTCCATTACCTATGTGTTCCCAGAAACTCCACAAGTGTGTCGCTTTACCCGAGTGCGTGTTTCTATATGAGTGTCTGTGTGCGTGCGTGTGCCTGCGAATGCATAAATAATTGTGTGCGCGTATGTGTGCCCTCAATAAAATATTTCACTGGCTTCCTCTCTGAATTGTTACAAGTGGTGCCATTATTTAACACAAGGCTCTGGGCAGCATGTCGAGGGCATGTGGGTGCAACATACTGATGCTTAACAAGCACCCTTAACCCCAGCCGGCCATGGCTAAGCCAAAGAAAGGAAAGGCTGTTCCCCAGCAGTGACATGGCACAGGAGGGCAGTCAGGCCAGAGTAAGGAGAGGAGGGGACAGCATCATTAATGAACCCGTCTGGTCCAGTGGCTCAATTACCGTACACTGGGTAAAGAAGACAGTGTTCAAATTAAACTAGAAGGTAGGCACAAGGTAATTCTGGAAATGTAAGCTCAGTGTATACGATAGCATTTGATTGTAGCCTTCACGCAATGTTAATACTCTAACAGGTCTTTAACACTGAAAAAACTTTCGACTGTGCACATATAATTCTTTCTGCTGTAGCAACTTAAGTACTATGTACATGACATCTACATCTAGTGTTCACCTTAAGTTTATCTAAGTGGAAACACTAAAAATGTTTGAGTGGTGAAACACCACAATCTCCCCTAAGACAAGCCCTCACAGAGACATAAATCTGTAGTGTTTTTATAAGCTCCTTGTTATGTCTGTACTTCTATTTCGGTTGTCACAAACATGCTGCCTCACTCAGTTCAACATCATGGGAACCATTTAAAAGAAATCTAAACTCCGCTCCCAAAAGAATGCTGCGGATTCAAATGCTCAGCTTATTGTTTGTGTGCCAAGGATTTTAAGTTAAAGAAAAAAACGACAATACTTCAAAATGTTAGAAGCAAAGTGAGCAGACAAAAAGTAAAACAGAACCTATGTGTGAACATTTCCAGCCAGATATCTAGATTAGCTTGCTTCCAGCACCAAAAAAAAAAGTAGTCCATGGGAGGGTTCAGGGATTCATAAAAGTCTTGGAAGGTAACTGATTGCTCCTAGTGGGGCAATCTGTGTGGGATTTTGTTTTTCTTTTTTCAGCCTGTAGGAACAGAAAAAACACACATGGACCATTCTCAGCAATAGAGCCATTAGATGGGAGAGTGACTGTGCGAGTGGGGGTGGGGTGAGGAAGCTGACAGCGGGATGTACACTACTTAAATATTACAGTACACACACTATCCCACACACCCAAAACCTAGCCTAAATACAGCGGCGCCCACCGTTAAAGCCGGGGCATTAGAAGATGCAACGGATGCAAAGACGAGAGAATCTGTTCTAGACAGGCGAATTAAACCGTGACCTATGGTCCCCGTTGAGTAACATTAGCAAGAGCTTCCTGTGTGCAGGCACCACTCTGTTGACCGTTCATCATCGCCGGGGAAGGTGGACAGTCACCATTACACACACACACTGACGCCTCACTTTACAATAACACAGCGGCAGCCATGACTCCACATCTGTCAAGGGGATGTTTAAAAAGAGTCATCATTATTGGTCTTTATTTTAGAGATGGGGGGGATGGGTGCAGGCTGATAGGAGGAGAGCCGTCTGGTTAACGTCCAGTTCCTCACCTTAACCAACTACTCGGGACAGGAGAGCAGGCTCAGACTGGGGTGGGGGCAGATGGGTACTGACTGAGAGGGAGAGGCAGATAAGCAGTAACCTGTGTCCATTGGTCCAAGGATATTAAATCATTGTCAGTCACTCCCAAGAGTTCACAAACATCAGCATTCCCATCGCTCTAAAACCTCACTCTCTTATCAGCTCTCTTATCACACCAATCAGTTATCTGGTGCTTTAACAAACACGTCTGCTACCATCAAACACTCACTCCTCCACGCACAAACACAGACACGCAAAATGAAAAATGCATCAGGGTGAAATTAATAGATAAATACTCAGTCCAGCAAATACGAAAAAACCTCATTTTACTTTCACTACAATACATTTTTTTAAAGCACTGAAATGATTCTTAAAAGCAAAGAACTTATTTCTGTTTGTGTATTTCTATATACGTCTAATACTCACTTTTGTTGCCTACCAAGGACACAACAGGCTGAATATCAGCCTCCTCGTTGGCCTTCTTGACCATGTTGAACCAGTCCTCCAGATTCTCGAAGCTCTGGTAGTTGGTGATATCGTATACCAAAAGAACACCCTGCGATGGAAAAAGACAAGGCAAACCGTGTTAATGTTATTACACCCTCGTTTGAGAGTTCACACTCATAATGAATATGAACATATCGCTTATTTTTTACAGCATATTCACTCATATTAATGAGCAGCAAGATTGAATGAGGGAACAGCAGGTGGCACTGCTCCTCTTCTCAGAGTCAGGGACAGACTCACATAGAATGGGACATGCTTTCTCACTCAGACAAAACCTTCAATAGGTTCACTACTACTAGGATTTCAGAGAGACTGCAGATTCTTCTGGATCTGTTCTAAAGTGAAGACAATGTTTTGCACATAAATATTTCCCAGTTTTGTAAGCATGCTACAAATTCACTGCAGAATAGAAGTCAGGTTTGGTTATACACTGTCTGAGTGGATGAATGAAGGCTGTCTGCTTAGAGACATTTTTCTCCTCCGTGTACCACTGTATGCGCTACAGAAACAGTCATGCAGTAATACCAGAGCCTTGTTTGAGCAAACACTTAGGTCAGAAGGAGTTGTTTGCATGAACACATAAATTAATGAAAAAGTAAACAGACACAGGAGTTGTTGGCATAATTCAAGACAAACGATGACATAGCTCAAATACCTGCTATCACTAGACCAACTTTTGCTGTTTCTAAAGGGCTGGAAATGAACATGAGCCAAAGTAAATGTCTCTACTTTTACTGCATGATGCAACACGACCGAAGGGGTGTCTGTTGCTTTTTGTTCGACAGACACACACTGTCACAACACGCAAGGTCGGTGACGACAGCTTACGCCTCTGACAATTACTGCGAGCCTCTCTGAACAGCCATGATTGATTACAGGGCGCACAGTGCTGAACAATGGGTGTGAAAGCTCTATACAGCGCTAACGACAAACTTTCTAAGCAAAGTGTCGTAATGTGGCAATGATGTATGACATTTTGATCGTCAAGGACAAAGATGGTAAAGGAAAGGCTGCAGACATGGATAATAAATACACTATTAGTTCTTAATTTAGAGCAATAATTTTCCTCGGAAAATGCAGGAAAATGCAACTTTCACCAAACCAAGTGGATTTATGGCATGGGAAAGAATATCCAAATAATGTTTGTCTAGCTTCTATGCGCTGTAGTGTGCTTTCCTATTGCTAGTATATTGTGACAATTTTTCCTGCCTGTGCCCAAATGTTAGCTCTTGTGCCGCAGCATCGGTTTCAAGTTAGTTTTTAAGTAGGCCTTCTCAAACAAGACACATGCTGAAGGTGACGGATAGCACTCATCTATAGCAACAAGACTACCTGTGGACACTTCTGCTGTTGCCACAAGTGCAAACTAGTACAAATTACAGTGTTTACTCAGCTGTATTTTCAGTCAATTCATTGTTAAATTTCTCAGTGGAAGAGCTTTAAATGAAAGGTGAGAGTAAATAAATCATTTAGTCACTTTTACCTCTCATGTATGAGCTAACAAGCTAACAAGCTCTCAAGCTGTTTTTCAGGTTACATGTTTAGGAACATCATTTTTGAATATTTTTATTACTCACAGTGTTGACCTGCAGTATACAGTATTATCAACATTTTGTTCAGTTTGACACAAACCATCCAACTCTAAAAAAGTAGAGATAGGATTACTTTGAAAGCTCCACTGACCTGCTACACTCACAGTGAATCTGCATGACAGTTTATTATGATTTGGCTCCGCAGGGAGGGAGTGGCAAGGTCTGAATGAAGCTGCTGAGGCTGTAACAACAAGCACGAACGGAGTCACCAATACGTGGCTATCAGGGAATTGGAAACTAATCCTGTGCTTCCTTCTTCACCGTTGTCTATAACATTTGGTCTTTACATTTACAAATTTCCAATCCTTCCTTAGGCTAATAGCCAAAGTTACAATCAAGTTCATGCCGGAGGACTAAAGTTCAGAAATAAAGAGCTGTAGCACAAACCATATATATGTTTGTGAGGCAGAATGATACGTGGCAACAAATGATTCAGTGTGAATGTGTGTCTGTATGTGTGTGTCCTTACATGAGCTCCATAAACATATTTATCCAGCATCTTCCCTCCTAATGTTTGGCCTCCAATGTCCCACACCTGCAGGGTCACGTTCAAATTGCCTGCAGTAGAGAGAAGGGACAGAAATACCTCCAGTAATTCAAAGATTGACATTTAAATGACAAAAACGCATACAAATCATCTTGGTTACGAGGAAATAGAGATTTCAGAGTATTACAGTCTCACTTGCTTTTCTTTCAAATGCTTTTTTCAGACAATTGGTAAATGAAAAAAAAGGTGCTACATGAACTAAATGAGCAACAAAGTGATAACGCAGCAATTTCTGAATTTCCATTATGAATGTTTTTTTTGTCTTTTTTATTCATTAACTTGTTTGTTTGAACAAAGCTCAAAATCATGTGGAAATAACAGGTCAGCTGTAACTAGAGCCTGTATTTTCGGTGAACGATTTCTATAATAAAAGTCAACGTTGTTGATATACATAATGGAAACAATAAATCAGCGATTAATCTTTCATGCTAAGCACTCTTGAACTGGCAGGTCACCTACACCTCACATCCAAGAATATCCAGCCCAGAGATTGAGGGGAATGAATAGGTACGCTTACCCTCTAATTTAAACATTCTCAATACCCTGGCAGTAAAAAAAGACTTCTTATTAGCCTGGGAAGAGCTGTTTGCATTGTGCCATATCCTGCCAAGTAAGGAAAGTGAAGAGAATTATGTGCTGTTAAGGAAAATAGCAATAATTAAACACAAAATAAGAGGAAAAGAAGACTGTTGTCCTTATGCATGTGGAAAGAGAAAGAAGGAATGAATGAGAGAGAGAGAGAGAGAGAGAGAGAGAGAAAGAGAGAGAAAGACGGGTACAAAAACCAAATCCAAATAAATATTTTCTTCCTCTGGAAAATGAAAGGGGTGGTTGAAAAAAAAAAGTCAAAAAAGTGGAGGAGGGACGACCAGACAGCGAGGAGTTTATGTTGCTGTGATGAAGGCCTGTGCTGGGCTCAAGCAGCGATGGGGAGCAGAGCATACACTGTGGACACGGCTGGACGACTCAACCCCTTCATAAGTCCCCTTTTTGAAGCGAGGGAAGGAAACGCTGAGGTTCACAGTCACTACATCTAGACTATACAGTGTCAATGTAAAGCTACATTGAGGAGTGCAATGAATAACGACTCCTTGGTGTCATAAAGAGCCATCCCCACCCATCCACAGTGCTCAGACACCAGCTTTATTTGTGTTTCAAAGATTCATGCCGACTCAGCACTGCTAACATTTTTTCTGCCTACGTTTTGCAAAAAGTAGAAACTGCAATCGTGAGCCTGTTAGACAAACTAAAACGAAAAAAGTGATAACAAGGTCGGAAAGAAGGGGCATATTAATAATATAACTGTCTTCCTAGCGTGACATGAAGCTGATGCAGTCCAACTGCTTCTGAAAGTTACAGTTTGACAGAATTTATCAAGTAAATTTCACCTCTAGTCAATCCCCTTCACCGCCTGTACCTCATTGGTTTGGCAGGGACATCTGGAAGAGGTATTGTTATAAAAAGCACACACAGAGGAGGCTGTTGTGTGCCAGTCGGCCTCGCCTCACCTCTCCCTGCGTTGGAAAATGTACATTAAGTTTGACAAGCTGGGCCTTCATGGTGAGAGGGGCCAACGCTGGCTATAGGCTACTCTCCCCCCTGCTGCAAAAGACCCTTACAGCCCCATAGAGACCCAGAGAACCACACAACCTCTCCAATACAAGGCAGGGTGGGGGTCCTAACGAAGTTTGGGACCACCCAGCTCGCAGAGCCACCCTCCTCTTCATCAGCTCATCAACACCCAATTCCCCAGAAAATGGGCCATTTAACAAGTCCGGTATTGGACCCAGTGTTGTTGCTGCCCCACTGATACAGACATATGTACACTGTATTTAAACAACGCGTACAGTTTAGCACTAAAAAGATCAGTGATTATTTCAGGAAAGAAACTTACTGGAAAGAGAAGTCACACGTTTAACAGCATTTGTTCAAGTTTGTATTAAGGAGCTGAGCCCAGCCTGTGCTTATGGTTGGCTCTTTTCATCCTGACTCCACCACAACATTTTTGGGGGTTTAGTTCTCCTAAGTCTCATAAGCTGAAACTGACACAAAATCAAAATAGAATCCTTGGGCCAACTCACAAATCAGCATAACTTTTACTTTTAGCACTTAATTTGCCCTTGCTTAATGTTGTTTTATTAGTAATGAAAGAATGGAGCCACTTTGCAGATTTCTGGAGCTTAGGCTTTGGCAGAGTTTGAGAAATGCCATTTAAAATGCTAAAAATCCCCATTTCACATGGTAGGAAGTAAAAATGGAGTGCTTTCGTCTAAATATAGCATTAGTCAATAAACATTTATTTTACAGATCTAAAGGGGATACAGAGTGTGGCTTTATTTCTGCGGGTTCAACATAAACAAACAACTACATCAATGTTTTATGTTGAGCAGGACAAAGATCAGTTGAACTTGGGGATCAGCGATATAGGTATAAAATGTTAATATATTTACTCTGTACTGTGCCCACAGAATTATGAGCAAGGCTCGCCCACTTGGACATAACCTGTCCATTGGCCTTGTGGAGTCCAAAAAAAGTGTGCTGTTTGCTCTAGAGAGAAGGACTTTCAGAGTGAATAAGCCTGAGAAGTGGCAGACACTCTACAATGAGGAGCTACCAGAAAAGACACATTCAGTCCCTGAGTTCACATGAAGCATAAACTCTGCCTGGAAATGGCAGGACAAGAAAATAGGAGAAGTAAAAACATGAATAAGATGGTGAACAGCGGGCGTCTTTGTTAGATTTCAAATAACAGACCTTTCTATTAATATTACTTTTACAATGATCTTTTTAAATAAACACTTCCAAAACCTGAAGGTTGATAAACAATATTACAAACAACCACTAACAATTAAGCTTGTCTTTCTACATGCTATTTTTGTAAATAAATAGCCTCAGTATTTTATTCAATTTACAAGTCTGCAATGTGCCGATACATGGGACACATGCTTGTGCAACACACGTCTGTGCTGCGCCTCTGAACAAGCAAGCACTCCCAAAAGGTTATGAAGGTGTCTCACCTGGAAGGCTTATTCTCTTCAGAAAGAAATCCAGGCCGATGGTTTGTTTGTACTGCTTCCCAAAGGCCTCCTGTGCAAACCTGGTGGCGAGTGATGTCTGAAACAGAGAGACAAAAGGAGAGACGTGGAGAATGAATGCCAAACACCTCTGCAGCTATCAGCAGATCTAAAACTATGTCATTTAAAGTTGTTAAGTGTTTTAAAAAGAAAACATCTCAGGATAAAACCCAAACTTTATTTGGTGTATATTATTTATCTAAAATAGTATTTATATGTATCAGCATAGCATGAATACAGAGTTAAAATCACAGCATAGTCCAAGGTGAAATGCACCTTCCAGAGAAAATATACAGAATATTAAAGAACTTCCTGAAAAAGTGATATTTCAGTGGTTAGCAGAAGCAGAAAAAGTTTGATTTCATTTGCACTGACTAACTGCCAAACTAAGCATTTTACAATATTTCATTTTCTAATATTTCTAAAAATACAAAAGTATAATATATCACATCACAACACTTTTATGTGATTCTTTTCCACAATACCGTGCAGCTGCAATTTTTAGGAAATGTAACCTTAAAGCATGTGCTGCAGGACATTAGTTTCATCATTCGAATCCATTTTAAGCACATGCAGAAACTTCATGATTGACTAGAAAAGGTCGCTGATGTAATTGTCTGCCTCCTCTGCTGTCTCACTACTCAGCCTCGGGTGTGACAGTGAAAATCAATGTAAATTACAAAAACAGGTGTCGGACTATGTGTCATGTCTCCGGACTGCAGACCTAATAATTGCCACAAATTATAAAACCTCCATCACTGTCACTGTTGTGTTTGAGGAGAAAAAAAATAGCATGTTAGGGGCTCTCCTCAAGTCCATGGGAATTCATAGCGCAGGGCTGACATGCCAAGTTTAATTCATTTTGATGGATGAGGATAGGAAAAAAATGAAGTGCTGAATGTCTATTAGCTATCTTTAGAGCAGTATGCTTACATAAACACAACAGAGAAGTAAAGCAATGGGATTCCCTGAGTGTTCATGTGGCAGCAAATGCATTTTAATGTGGTACTTGACAATCACAGAGGGTTAGAGGATTTAAAACTAAATTCTTTCTTTCAATCCCCTAAGCTTTCACTTGAGTCTGTGCCCTTATCTACCTCCATTCATTCTCAGGAGGTTTAGGTTTAGCCAAATAATGTTTCAAATAAGACAAGATTGCTTTCGAATTATTCCTGGGTAGACACAATGTAATATGAACAGGTTAATCCATATCATGGTTTATCCAAATCCTGTTGAAGTAAACAACATTCTGATTCTGTCACTAAGCCTAATATAGAATCTTTTATGTTAAGCCTAGTTTGGTGTTTTAAATGTAATCTTTTGTTTAAAAGCTGTTAAATTAGTAACCCTGACCTTTGCCAATAGCTGTCTTAATTAACATTTCCCTGGAAGCTTTATCCACCTAATTCTTTGAAAGTTCGCTAATCTACAGACTTTTTAAATCTCAGTGCACGGAGCATGTCACAGGCTCAAGAGTGACTGAAAAATTACTCGAGGTGACTGACGCAACAAGGAGAAAATCGGCCATTTAAGTAGCCCAAACAATCACTGACAACATAGGAATAACAAGCTCGGACAGCAAAAATTTATTCCACATGCTCACGTTGGCCTTGTCGGCCATTTGTCTTGGCATTCCAGTAGCTTGGCTTTCCTCCCTCAACGTAGTCCTTTTTTTCCACCGTACAATTGGAACTAACCAGCGAATGTAAAAGCTGGCGTAATCCTGACACTCCAACAGAGAACAGTACAGGGTCACCAGTGATACCAATGCCGGGAAATGGGGGAAGTTCTACTGAAACAAGAAACTGGGAGAGAGGGAAAAAATATGGCAAGCTGACTATGAGCATGTGATGCAACTCATATGAGGGAGGCAGTGCATTTTTACAGCATGGTATCAAAACTGGCTCCTTATTATCCTTGAACAGCTACGAAGAAGTTTGACTGCAAAGCACATTTCTGGGATATAGTGTCTATTAATGTACCTGGCCTGCACCTAAAGCTCCTTTTTACCCTATGGGTCGGAGAACAGCAAATATTGAGGAAAACTGAGTGGCTTATAACTCAGGTTGAAAAATAGACCTGTGTGTAAGTTAGGCCCCGTGCCTTAAGAGCCTGGCTAAATGTGAGACTCCATATTTTAAAAACATCTCGCTCAGGTGGACAAGCCTTCCCACATCTCCCTGTATTTCTGAATGGACAACCAACCACAAGCACAAATACCAGTGAAAATGCTGTCCAAGAAAAACTGATCCGATTGCAATTTGCTCAGCAAATTGACATTAATAAGGGGGGAAACGGCATTCAAGATGTCAGTCAGTGGTGCCTACTCAAAATAGGGGGCAGGGCTCCTGTTTTCAGCCCAAAACAGACAAGCAGGTAAGTCATTCAGACAGTGACGAGCTGACACCTGGCAGCAGTGTGAGGAGGGTTATTAATGTAGCGTATCTACTGGGAACTGAGTTGTGTGTGTTCTCTGCGCACACACACACACCCCCACCCCCCCTGAAAGAAAATGCCGACTTTCCAGAATGAGAACATTCATTTTTCTCATTGGGACTCACTATTACTGCTACATTCATTTTCTTTCTCCCAGAGGAAGGAGAGATTAGTTACGAAAAGGGATGTGTAGCTGAAAAGCACTTGACATCCCTGCCTTACATTCACATTCATTCGAGGATTGCAGATGCAGTGAAGAAGAAACATAGCTGAATTGTCATGACAACCTCCTTGCTTTGCTGCAAATTATTGTTTGCTTTAACTGGGAAAAATTCCACTGTTGTTGATGTAAGTTAGGCCTTTTTATTCCAAGTCTTTAAAATGATTGTAATGAATATGATTTAGTCCAGTAGTTTTGAAAAGGAACAGGGACTAACATCAGTCCTAAAGCTGTGTAGATATATCCAAGAGAGACAATGCACTGAGAAAAACTATTTTTTTCGCCGTTCAAACTTCTGTAAAACAAAGTCTTCATGTGTGACTCCCTTCCAACCGTTAGTTTATTGTATCAATTGAGAAAACAGCAACATTTCTCATATGGGCTGCCCAGATGTAATTTTCTTAAATGGAGCCTCACTCTGGAGCCAAATGCAATGAGAGGTATACTAGTGGAAAACAACCACCAGCTGCAAGAGCCAGGCTAAGCAAACTGTAGCCTTTATCAACTCTGTATAATGCTGCTCAGTGCAGTGTTTTAACGCACTGAGTCGGAGCAGCAGCCATAAAGTGTAATACAATTTTGTTCAAGCAATTAAATAGTTTGATTGAAATAAACTACAAATGGATATTTTAAACTGATGTAAAGGGTTTCACTGAAACATGTACCTTTTATGTGTTATTTATAATAAGTTTAATTTAGGCCCATGACTCATATATATATTTACAAAGTCCTGAAGCCTACATGGGCCTCATACCAATAGGTTCAAGCATGCACTTTTGCATGAGTAATTACACCGGCAGATAATGCAGAAACAAACAACTACTACGATTAGTTCACAGAGTGAGCTCATGATCTAAGTTATAATAAAACAACCAAGTGGACTATGCTCAGGAGCACATGCTACGAGGATTAAGGGCTGGGTTGACTTAATAGGTTTAGAACAATGGATTTGTGTCAGATTTAAATCCAATATTCTATCTTTGAGACAGGAACAAAACTACCTTTGTCCATCAACTTTGTAAAATTCTGATTTACTGAGAATTAATAAAATACGCTTTGTAAAGTCATTGTTTCCTGCAGTCCATACTACAGTATGCCTTTTGGATTAAATATACATTTGCATTAAGACAAAGAGCAGCCCCCGCATGGAATGATTGAAAACAGGTTGTCTCCTTATTAAAGCCTCATTTAGAGAAGCTGCATGAGATTTCAACACCATTAAGTTACAGGGTTCAATACATGTTTTTCTCTTTGAAATATTATGAATAAGTCCATTATCTAATGTTTTGGGGTTTTTTTATATATATATTTTTTTTCAGTATATAAAATGTGTACATTTGACCAGTTCTGGAGGTCTTACTCAGGCTTGTGGTCAGGTATAAAGTGAGACTTTGAGTCCTTAACTCATCATAGAGTGTCAGTATATTATTTGTACAAAAAATGAGTTAGCTGTTAATTTAGCAGCAAGGTACATTCGCTAAGTTTACGCAAAGAAAATGGCTCCTCAGCTAAGGTAAAGGAAAGGTCCAACAGGAAAAGTAACGCAGTACAAAGTTTGTTGTCCATATTTAGTTCAAAACAATACTGACATCCAGTGAGATGCATCTTTTCAGTTGCAATCTTGTCAACCTCTGTCATATGGAGTTTTTTCCCACATTTCTTTGTGTGACGTAAAAGAATAAGTCATCCTGTTGAGTAACAGTTAGGCCAACAGCATAGGACACAGTACAAAATGGGCAACAGCTTCAATTCACCTGAAAAGACCAACTAAATGTAAATAATTACTTTATGAAAACCAATAGCTATGCATAATAGTCATGACTGACATCATGATAACTGACATACAGAAAGCTGTATAATCACCTCACATCTTTTATAATGGAGTATTTATTACTGTCAAATGCTGTCAACTCCTCCGTGAGTCACTAGTTGTCATTAATAACCTTGTAAGGTATTCTACAGTTCAGCTAATCAGTGAAAAAACACAGCGGCTGTAATTAAGGTGAAGTTGTAGGTCTGTATGATGAACCATAGAAAGAGCTGAGCCACTCTTCTCAGTTGATTCGCAGATGTTTGTAAAGTGAATAGCTTTGGAGTTTTTTTGTCTGTGGATTAAACAGAAAAACACAATTAAAGATTCATCTTGGATAGGGCTGAACTACTTTAGGAAAATATCTAATTGTGATTTTTCTGACAGATACTGTGATTTGATTTGCTATACAATCTTTTAAAGCCAAGCTTCTGTTCAATATTAACTGTGTACTAGATTTAAAACGTGATTAAGCAATATCACATGAGACAGCACCATGGACACCATTAAAACAACAGTTTTAGTCTTATAGTCTCTGTAGACCATCCTCTAGTGCTGACACAGCACTGTGTAGAATGGTCTGGCTGAACCTCATTATCATTCTGCTATAGGTAGGGAAAAACTCTGGCATGTTTGTATTTCCTTCACCAACCACAGTCATCTGGAGTGGGGCTAAGAACAGGATGCATCAACAGTGTTCACTCAAAATAGTGAGGGGGGAGTTGTTTTCATTGAACATTTCATGCAGAGAGACGAGGCGAGCAATGTAATTTAATTGGACAGTTCACTGAAAAAAAAAAATAGCAGGGCAGTTCTGTTGCACAATCGAAACCTTCTACAAAACTGGAAATTTTCACTGGATAAGTTGCTGTGAGGAGGTTGTTGGGGACATGTAGTTAGTGGAAACAGAGGAGAAAGTTGCAGGAAATGCAGTGCAAATAGCAGATTTACACCCGGTGAGTTCGACTTTAACAATTTTAACCCTAAGTTACATGTACTGCATAATGTATATTATACATTGCACCTTTTGTGATTTGCTTATTGTATTGTTATAAAATCGTGATATAAATTTAAAATGGATTGATTGTTCAGGTATGTTGGTCTTCGCAATATATCAACTTAATTGAGGAAATAACTGGCAGATTAATGAAAATCGAACTGATGAACTAATCATCTGCAGTAGCTCTACAAAGAACCTTGATAAAAGTCTTTAAAAACTAATACAAAAACATGAACCACAAGGAAATTTATTTGAGTTTTGCTGACATTGTAGAAGCCAAATGGCTCCCAATTTAGTGCGGGTTTCTCCTTTAAGCGTCTGCCGCATAAGACAAAGGAAAACCGTTATACTGTGAGGTAGAAAGTAAGAAATGACTCGCATTTTTGACTGTACATACTATTAACCCAAACGACAGCTGTGGTGTTAACTTTCCTCCGTCATGTTGTCCTGTTGTGTTGTTTTTAGCTCATAGCCAGCTGAGCTACATTAGCGTCGGTCGCCATGGTGACTGAGAGGACAGTGCAGTGTCAGCAGGAGCGCCGTAAAGAGCAGAATACCCGCTGAACCGTCGTGCAACAGTCAAAAAACACACCGTCTGTGTGTGAATGTTGCACCTGTGAGTCTGTCCTCTTCACTAACGTTGTGTTGATGTAAGTTATGTGTGTGTCTGCCATGGTCTCACCTTCCCACACGCTCCGTCTCCAATCACTACAATTTTAAGCTGCTTGTCCTGGCTGTCCTCCTCCGAGTCCGACATGACGCTAAAATGTACCCAAACCGTATCAGTGTGTGAAACCGAAGCACAAGAAACTATCCACAGGTGGCTGAATGTAGCTACGAGGCTAATCACAGATGGATTAGACGAGCGTTGAGTGGGCAAACAGACGCCATTTTGACTCCACTAGCGCTAGCTGCTGCTCTGCTCGGCAGGATCCACTCGTACACCGACGCCTCCTCGTACACTGGGGTTCTTTCGGTTAAAACGGGGATAACGGCGACCGAAAGACGAGCCGGAGGCCACGGTTTGGCATTTCAGACGGTGAATATTTTCTGCGTCGCAATGATGCCCTTTGTCTTCACAGAAAAAGAGCAGAAATGGAAACCGAACCACCGGCGTGTGTGGTTGAGTCCTGTGTGTGACGCGTTGCCGTTGTCATGGTAACAGAGGTCAAAGTGCACGTGTGAGAACATTAAAAGTCCCTGAAGAAAGTAAAAATGTGAACTTTTTATTTAAATAGCATATAGCTGTACTATGTATTTAATAGATAGATAGATAGATAGATAGAT